ATATCCCTCCTGATTCTCAACCACCACAGGGAGGTTTTGGGGCCAGCCCATTTTGCGCCTCTGCCCCTCCTACCAGTCTTGGCATGGCTTCTTTATATCCTTAGTTATAAAACTTCTGTTCAGACAGGCTTCAGATGGTTCTCCAGGTTGATTGTTCTATAATTCGATTGTAAGTTTAATGTGTTTATGGAAGCAAGCATGCACAGTGTTTATCTACTCCACCATCTTGGATCTCTCTACTCACCCCCACTTTTTTCTTTCTTTTGTGCTTGGGATGAGTTGAATTTCCTGGATCTGTGGATTTATAGTTTTCATCAAATTCAGAATTTTTTGGCCATTTTTTCAAATAATTTTTTTCTGTCTCTCACCCATTCTTTTCTTCTCTTCCAGCGATTCCAATTACACATAATCAGGCTGTCTGAAGTTGTCCCACAGGTATCTGATACACTATTATATTCTTAGTCTGTTTTCCTGTTTCAATTTGTATAGATTTTTTGTTAGGTCTTCAAGTTTACTAATATTTTCTTTTTGCAATATATAATCTACTAATCCATATACTGAATTTTTAAATCTCAGACATTGTCAATTTTATCCCTAAAAGTTTGTTTGGGTCTTTTTAATATCTTCCACATCTATACTTAACATGGTCAATGTCTCTTCCTTGTTGGACATAATGGAATATAATTATGATTGTTGTGCTGTCATCTATTACCAAATACAAAATCTAGTAAATCATATAAAGTCTATTTTTGTCATTTCTTGATGTGTTTCTATTGATTTTTCTCATTATAGTCATGTATTCCCACTTCTTTACATGTCTGCTAAGTTTTATTTACTACCAGACATTGTGAAAGTTACCTTCTATGTGCTTGGTAGTTTTGCATTTCTATAAATATTTTCAAGCTTTGTTCTGGAATATACTTATGTTATCTAGTAATAGTGTGCTCCTTTCAAAATTTTCTTTAAGCTTTGCTAGGTGGACCAAGTGTGCTAGGTGCTAACTTGCTTCTTCACTGAGGCAATAAGTTTTTGAGTAATCTAACCAGTGTCCTGTAAACTCTACTCTGCCTGATAGGGACACAAACTATTCATGGCACCTGTGGGAGTTCCAAAGATTACCTGTGTTCTTTCTTAAGCATTCCTTTTGCTGGCCTCAGGTGGTCTCCTTGTCCCCATGCACTGATCAAAATTTGGCTCAGTACTCTGCCCAGTAAATTCTAGCCATCATTGCCTTCCTAGACTGTCAGCTCCATCTTGTCAACTTAGGAAGATCATGAGGCACGCCCTGCACTCCCTTTTCCTGTGTTGAGATGTGGAAATGCCCTCTAGGCAGTAAACTGGGTCAAGTGTATGGGTCACATTTTGTTTACATTTTATTAGGCATTGTTTTGTTGTCTGATGGCCAGTGTCTAAAAACTATCATTTCTTATATTTTACCTAGTGTTTTTAAAATTTTAGGCAGGAAGGTAAATCCAGTTTCTATTACTCCATATTGGCTGAAAACAGTATTTTTTTTTAATTCTACTCTTAGAGAAGAATTGCAAGAAGGGTATACCATTCCCACACAACCCTCCTCTCGCAGTTTGCCTAACATTATTTTACATCACCAAAGTATAATGATCAAAACTAGGACATTAACATTTATATAATACTGTGAATTAAACTGCAGTCTTTATTTGTATTTCACCAAGTTTTCTCTAGTAATGTTCCAGATTGAATCTGGAATCCTGCATTGTATTTAGATATCAGGTTAACTTAGTCTTCTCTAATCTTTGAGAGATTCTCAGTCTTCCCTTGCCTTTCATGACTTTGAAATGTCATGGACTTTTGGAGTATTGGTTAAGTTAATTACCCAATTTATAGAAGGTTCTTAATTTGGGGTTTGTTTGCAGTTTCCTCATTATTAGATCATGGTTGTGCAGTTTTTGGTGAGAATACTACCAAAATGATGTGCCATTCTTGGCTCATCGTCTTGGGTGATATATGCCATGTCTTAGTACTGGTGGCCATTTCGTTAAGGTGTCTTATGCAGTGTTTTCTCTTTGTAAATAAATATTCCAGAGAGAGAGAGCATTTGAGACAATTCTAATATCCCATTTTTTCTTCAAACATTCATCTTCAAATTTTAGCATCCATCAATAGATTTTGTATATAATTACTATTACTATTATATTGATTTCCTATTTTTCTCATTCCTTTTATGCTTATTAGAATTCTTCACTATTAAATAGAACCAGGATTCTTTCATTCAGGGATAGCTAATTTCAGGGCAGCAATAAATAGGATAGGTCTGGAACATCCCCTTGTATTTGGACAGGGGGAAGCTTCCAAATAGGCTAGAGAAAATGTGGAAAGGATAAAGGATAAAGTAAAAATGGAAAGAAATAAAGTTTTATCAAATGAGCACCAAAAAGTAGCAAAAACAATAGTTAAGAACAGTAATTAGGGCCGGC